CAGGAACCGAAATTTGATACTTTTCTAGTTGAATTTCTACTCCAGGAGAGCCAGGAAAGAAAATTTTACTGTATTTCTACTCATTTTACTGTATTTCTACTTCAAATTCAGCTCCAAGAGGATCAAAAATGAGTCTTTTTGTCTTTGGATGGCCGGAAATTTGTGTCTGATATTCTAGGAGAGCCTGGAATAGAAGTTTTATTTTTCTCAGTTGAATTTCAGCTCTATGGGGGTGCAAAATCAGCTCATTCTCAAACTGCTCTATTCAAATTTTTTGAGGTTAGGCTGCTTGAATGTTAACATCATAATCCGCGTATGGCTAAATTTAGCTGATGTAGGCACCCTGGTGGGATGGTAGAAGAGCCAGTGTTGTTAAATTAAACAGGGTTTGACAAGCTGTGGTTTGACATTGACATTAGTGAATCGTAATCACCGCATTCGTGGCAGTGCACCATTTTGGTGAATTTAGCAACACGCGGAATGTGCACTCCAGACAAAACATGTTTTTATTGCAAGCAAAAAGTCGTAGATTATGTGAAATGCAGTGTATGTAGGGTTGTTTATTACCACGTAGGTTGCGCAAAAAAGTGTGGTGCTTCTCGAGGCACTTTATTGAAATGTTCGAATCGCTCTAAAAGCGAGGTTAATGCTTCTCAATCATCCAACGAGGGCTCCAATAAAAAGGGAAATATGACTGATTTACTGCAAATATTAACAAAACTAGAGGAATCAGTGTCATTTATGAGTGAGAAATTTGATATTTTTGCTGCTGAGAATAAAAAGGTCCTGAAGGAGCTGAAAGAGGCCAGAGGAAAAAACGATCGATTGATCAGGAAGATCAACATCTTGGAAAAAATAATTCAAGTATTTGCCTGCAACGTTGAAATATTCCTGCAACGTTGAAATCATTTGAACCTAAATAAATAAATGTCCTTTAAGTACCTATAGCTAAAAAGGTGGCGAATGAATTGCTGGGCGGTAAATTCTCTGAGAGTGAGCTCTCTGAGTGCTATAAGAAAAAAACAAAGAAAGGATCTATTCTTGTCGTTAGATTTGCAACAGTCGGTCTAAAAAATTAATTTCTGGGCCTTCGGAAAAAACAAAAATTAGATTCCAGATGCTACGCCATAATCGAGGCGCAAATACACACACAAAATTTTTTGTTAATGAAATGCTGACATTTGTAAATAGGAATCTGTTCAACATGGCATACAGACTTAAAAAGCAAAAGGAATATGAGTATTGCTGGACTAAGGATGGCACGGTATACTTGAAAAAAAAAAGATGAATCCTCCGCCATTTATGTTTTTAATGAAGACGTTATAAAAAAACCTAGATAATGAGCAATAAAAATACTTCCGCTATATTATGTTTTTAATGAAGACATTATAAAGAACCTAGAAAACGAGCAATGAAAATACCTTAGTGCAAATTCAGAACCAATTCGACTTATTTTGGATTGGAGGTGTGGAGATCCTAATAAAAAGTAGCTATTCTTTTATCCAGCATCACTCTTTGCACACAGAATACCATATTGCCAGTTTTGGTGAACAACTCAGTGACCTTGGGAGTTATCTGGACCTCCAGACTATCATTACCAATATTTTGTTGATTTACTTGACAATGTTCTTAATGCATTCTGTAATAAACCAAAAACTTATATCTCAGGTATTTTACAATACCATTACATCAAATGGTTTTGAAATATTGAACAAATCTGTGCCTACAAGGATTACACAGCATTCTCAAACTCTTATCGATTATGTGCTATCAAATACTGATACTCCTTCCACAAAAATATCTATAGTTGACCATCCTATAAGTGACCATAGATTACACCCTTATAAACTAGAAGTAATCCAGCTAAGACCCAAAATGAATACTCAGGTAACTCAGGGACCATTCTAAATAAGTCTAAATTTAGAATGCAACTTGTTGATCTCAATAGTTTTGAGTGAAATGACAATACTTTGTGTGATGAAATAATCTGAATTTACTCAAATAACATCACAATAAAAACATTTAAAGACAGATTTCGCAAGAAAAGTGCCCCTTGGTTTAACGTACACCTGCATGAACTAGCGCAGGTTAGAGACTACCATTATGAAAGATCCAAAAAATTCCCAAACAGTGAATTTCTGCGTGAGGCTTACAAAACAGCCCAAAGCATCCTAAAGCAGGAAGTGAATAATGTAATTGAAGTATATTTTTCTACACAACTTGATGAAGCTAATGGTGACAGTAAAAAGACTTGGTCTGTACTAAATAATATTATTTACAATTTAAAAAAAAATGGAACTGAAACGACAATACCAGAAGAGTTCATTGTCATTTGGAAACCAGTCTCAATATATCAGAGATTATTGATCATATGAAAAGGGACGCCGCACCTGGAATCGATAATATCAGTATGAAGACTCTTAAAGAATTCAAGAATGAATTCATCCCAATTTTATGCAGACTTGTTAATTTAACAATTACCACCACCAGCATACCAAATTCACTGAAGAGGGCCAAAATTGTTCCACTTTTTAAAACTGGAGATACTGAAATACCAATAAGCAACTATCGACCAATCTCTATCCTTCCCGCACTGTCCAAAGTTTTGGAAGCCTGTGTCAACGATCAACTTGTGAACTTCTTTGAATCATCTAACGCCTGTTTGAAACAGCAGTATGGTTCCAGAAAAAACTCAAGTACAATTCCGGCAGCTACAGATCTAGTCAGCGATATCTATTCCAGGGTAGACAAGGGTAATAGCTATATTTTTGTTTCACTGGATCTTCAAAAAGCTTTTGATACTGTTGATCACAGTATATTAATATCAGTATTAGAGCAGAATGGCGTGACAGGAATGGCACTAGCTTGGTTGAAGGAATACTTACAAGTGACTGTTAATAATACACTAAACACTCCAGCTGACAACAGATGTGGAGCACCACAAGGATCTATCCTAGGACCGACTCTCTTCTTGGTATATATCAACTCTATAAGAAAACTTGCTCTAAGATCTGCCATATATCTGTGCGCGGACGACACCTACCTGGTATACTCTGGAAGAGACCTTAACTTGGTACAAACAACCATAGAACAAGATCTGTTTCCACAAACTCTCACTTAACTCGAAAAAATGTAGCTATATGATTATTTCCAACAATGCTACTTGGCAAAACGCCAGATACATCAACATATCGCAACGTAAAATGATATATCATTCGCTGATTCACTATCATTAATCATATCTCACCTTAATTTGGTGCAATACCTCAAACATCCATCTCAAACCCCTCATGGTTTCACAAAACAGAGCTATAAAGAAAATATCCCAGCTTCCATTGCTGTATCCAACGTCTAGCCTTTACAACCCTAATCACATCCTGAGTCCCTGTACATCACTCAAAAATGTAGTTTCATCTACAACTGCATAATATCAAATATTCACTCTTACTTTCACTCCAACAAATACAATCCACAACCAAGCGCCAGACAAAGAAATACCCCAAGACCAGAAGCAATGAGAACAACTGAAGGACACAGAAGTATGTTTTTCCAGGGCCTTGCTTACTACAACAGACTTCCTAATGTACTCAGAGACTGCCCAAGAGTCGGTGTCTTCAAGAAGGAGTTAAAGTCTCCACTATTTAATAAATTTTTTGAATAATCGAGGACTCAAATGTGTATTTTGTATAATATGTATTTTTATTTATTTTTTTTTGTCTGCAAGGACTTTCGCTATACCTAATTGTTAAACTTTAAAGTAATTCCTAGCCTCTTAAGTAATGAAGCATCGAGAATAATGCAGTCCCTGAAACTAAAGACAGGGGACTTTGTCGGCCACATGAGCATTGTGAAAAAATGCGTAAATGTGAAGATTAAACCAGTTGATCACATGTGACACGCAGGTACAAATTTGACCACTCCTTCAAAGTGAATATTGCGAGCCGCAAGGGAGAAAATATTGTACCTGTATTCATGAACAGGTCATTTGTCGTGTGTACAGACGGAGCAGGGGTATATACGGCCCACTTTGTAGACTATTAACAGCCCTTGGAGAAAGCCCAGCCATATTTGAAGTGGAAATATTCGCAATAGAACTTTGCGCTAAAAAGTGTCTCGAAAGAGACCTGCTAAGAATAAAGACAACATTTCCGACAGTCAGGCAGCTCTGTCACCAAATTCAGACTGTTATAGGACTGCCAACAACTCCTAAAGCAACTGGCGTCTCGCACTAGAGTCACCCTATCATGGGTACCAGGGCACCAAAGAGTCGAGGGGAATGAATTAGTGAACCAACTTGCAAGACAAGGAGCTGCAACATCATTCTTTTGATCAGAATCTTTCTTGGCGATACTAAAAGACGTATGGGTCCCTCCACTGCCCTCAGGGCCTGGAGAAGATGGGCGAAACAGAATCAGACGTATGCCCCTTCTGAGTCTGCGAAACTGTGACGCATTGTACCGCAGAAGACTCATCCATCTGGAGCAGCCCTATTTAAAGGCTGTGGATGTGAAAGAAGCCAATCCCAGGAACAATATAGGCTTTGCTAGAAGTCTTAATTTGGCAACCCACTAGATATAAGGGGAAGCACAATAGATCTAATCAGATTGCAGTGCGTAGTGCGGTGGTCCATAGCCTTAACACACCAACGATCACAATCTAAAATATCCCTACGTGGAGACACTAATCACTAACCAGCGAAACCTAGAGAATGTTAGTTTCCAAGATATAACAAGATATCGTAGAAATTGAGAAACTGATGATGGATCTGGAAAGCAAAAAAATCACCAGAAGAAGATGGATTGGTATTGTGATTAATTGCCAAAATTGCATGAATTAATAAAACGAGTAGGTAGTTATTCTACATAGTTAATTTTTGCAGTCCGTTTCGAGTTCACGACAAGAAAATCGACCAACTAACCAAACTATGGTGCATTTCGCAAATATTAAAATATTTTCTTTTTAGGAGCTCATTAGATAAACTTAAAAGAATCTTTTTCACTATGTGGTTTTATGCAGCATTGATAAGTACTTCGTTGGCTGGTGTCATGAGACCCACAATATACTCTCTCGGTTACCTAGTGGGTGCGTCTATTTTTATTTGGGAAGGTACCCATATCTTCTTGAGGCCCCCAGAAATGATTTTGAGAAGGTAAGTATAACCTTCGAAAAAACTAAGAGATATATTGTTTCAATTTTAGATGGAATATGCTAATTGGCTACAACGTAGTCGTTATGCTAATACGTACAGTTAATCAGATATTTGGCTGTATTCTTATACATGAAATTGTGAGCGACTGTATGATATTCAAGTATGGCACATTTTTCTGAAACAACTGTATATTTATTATTTTTTTTTAGGATTTTTAGTATTGGATGCGTTGATAAATTCGGCTTGACAGCTGGTGTACCAAATATCAGTGAAAACACGGCTTGTCGTGCATTATATGCATCATTAGGATTGGCTTACGATTGCATATGCTTCTTTTTCCTTATTTTTCAACAAAGGATTTTTAAAACTTATCATTTTTTTCATATGGTCAACGATATAAAGGCTCAAACCATCTTGAGCAACAGAGGTTTCTATTACTTATAATCAAAGGTTTCTTTACACAAACGAAATTTATTAGGAGCTGAATTGATAGTGGAACAAAAACGTAAAAAACGTCAAGCAATAGATTTACAAGATAAAACAATAAGGGAAAATATTGAAAAAAAATTGGCAAAAGTTAGAGCCACTCATCAACGTGTACACGGCAATGCTTATGCTAGGAAAAAAACGAATCAATCATACAGTAAATAGTTACAAAATAAACCAAGAGTATTTAAAGTTTTTGATATTTTTTCTAGTATTGAAATCGAGCGACTATTATATGTTCGATGATGCTATATTAAACAATGATATTCCTCTTAGACCTGAAACTAAACAAAACGTTTCAAAATCTGATCCTTATGATCCTATGCCTTTAACAGAAGTAAGTTTCAATAATCAGATAAATACCTATAGATTTTTCAATTGAAATTTTCTGTAGTACTTAAAATTGTTTCATGATACGGACGTTGCCACTGTCTTAGAGAAGCGAGATTTGAGACGGCGTAAAAGAAAACTAATGCAACAGGGCAAAAATGTATGCAAACTAGTTACATTTCCCTGGAATTATATTATAACATTATTTTTAGCCTAGAGCTGTTAAGACAAGTCCTGGTCCAAGCACTAGTAACATCAGAAAAGGTATCTTGGCCCATTCTAATGTATCCTAACAATATTGACATACTTACTTTTAGATTCACGCAAGACAAGAAAATTCTTGAATATATTCCTTTTCATTTGGGGTATTTTTGAAAGCCTCATCGTCAGCACTACTTTATTCTTCAACGAACGATCTAAAGATTTTCGCGAAATACTAAATGAAATAAACGCAGAGAAAAAAATCTTAAAGGAGCACAGCAAGTATGCGCGAGGAGTCCGTCTTGGAACAAATAAAGTCTGGAGTCCGGTCCAGGACTATAGAGATCTGATTTTGGCTAGGTAAAAATACTGGTTCAACTAGGCCAACATGAACTATAGTTTTATTTTATATGTCTATATAGGAGAGATGATAAGGTGGAGGAGCAACATGACTATCAAGACAGCATTTATTTCAATTTTATTAGTGCTACGTGGCTTTTAATATTGAGCCACACCGAATTGCTATCGTACTGTATCATAATTTTCAATCAGTATAAAAGAGCAAATTTCATATCGTTGCCGATGGTCATATTGGTATTTTGTTGGGGGACTCTGACAGTACCCAAACCCACGAAGACATTTTGGGTGTCTACTATTTCGTACGTTTTGGTAAGAATTGGATACATGAAGAAATATTTATAAAATAGCTTTATTTTTCCAGATTATGCTCTTCATTAAAAATTTCTTTGTTATGGATATTATACCATGGGAAACAAACACTCATATGTCAAATCTATTTTTTCCACCTCTTATTATTGGGCTCAATCGATACGCAAGTCTCCATATAAATATATTCATTTTGGTGCTTCTGTTTCTTCACAGGTTGGTATCTGATTATTTGAAATGTGTTTTGAATCATAAATTTCAGAAAAGTTCTTCAAACGTTGGGTTTATGGAAACCTTATGACTATCGCATAGCTACTCTTGTTGATAACGGCGAATATACTTTGGGAGATCAGAAGCTCGTACCATTACCTGTCAAGTGAAAAATCATTGGCTTTTACAATAATTGTAATCATTTACTTATTATTATTATTTTCAGAGATACTACAACCAAAAATCCTTTCGTACTTGAAACCGTTGAAGCTTCATTTGGAGACTATTTCCCTAATTCAATTGTGCCTGGGTGAGTATAGTATAAAGAAGTCCGTTGGTATATTTGTAAAGAGCACAAAGTCTCATTTTCTTGACATTATTTTGCAGGTTTGCAAAATATGCAGAGCGATTGAGATTATTCGCGCAACAATTAATTGTTCCATCTTTCACACAAATACCTGTGGACGTTTACACTCCTATGTTTTTGTGCGATTTAATCAATTTGCTGATAATCATTTTTTTCTATGGAAGTTTTTATGTAAGAGTTCTGTAAAATATTGATGTGTTCCTATAATAATTATTAATTCTAGAAAGCAGAATCAGACGAAGGCTTTATAAACTTTATCCAGAACAACGATGTTCCGATATCATTTTTAGTAGTTGTGCTTCTTTATTTTCTCGCAATGGTGATTGACAGGGCGATATACCTGAAAAAAAGCCGTCTCAACAAAATTTTCTATCACTTTTTCCAAGTTATTGCCGTTCATATTTATTTTTTCATTTTATATCCTATAATTACAGAAAGGTAAGTTAATTGGTTATAATTGAGCCGCATTATATGTTTCAAGTTTTGAAGTATGAGTTATCTATAGTCTGTAGTAGAAATAGTGATTTCATGACATCTTGACACAGATTAACTTGTTGTGATCAATGGTTGTGATGATAAGACTCCCCCCATTGGCCAGGAGAAGTGAACTGCTCAAGGGGGGTCATGGTGGGGATGCATCAGAGGTGTAAACAAGACCCGCCGTCTCCTTTGAACCCGTCATTCAATTGACCAAAATAATGAACAAATGGGCACGGGTGCCACTCGTTTATCTATCTATCTGCCTCTTACTCCTATTATATACGTTCGATGGATGCGTTCCCAAGCAGCGCTTTTACGTCCTAACAACATCCTCATTGATGTCTTGACGTTAAGGCGCGACGTCAAATAGACGACTTTACAACCCTTATTTTCATCAAAATGGAGAATCATTTCATGGTTGTAACGACGTCGCAGGTCGCGAGGCTTCACTAATTTTTAACTTATACGTCAGCATACGCAACCAGATTTCAACGTTTACTAAACGTCGTAAGCCATGACTAACCTAAAAACAAATACCTACCAAATCAAATAAAGAACGTTCCAGGTTTAATATATTGCACCAAATTCGCACTTTTGGTTTATTATTGGTGTTATTTTATTTCCCAACTCATCACTTTAAAAACAAAATGAATAGGTAGGTACCTAAGAATATTGCGGGACATAAAATAATAATGGCGCCTCGCCTTGTCAACAATAAAATACGTGAAACCAAATATCTGACCTTATGATTGGTCGTGTCAGACGACGTTTTTGAAACGTTTCAGAGGGCACAAGATATGAAGATAATGACGGATTGACCTCTTCAATGCAACATTGAATTTGGTACAATATTATGACGTCCATTTTACGATTTTTATCTTACCTCATGATTGGTCGTGTTAGGCAACGTTTAAAAAACGTTCCAGAGGTCACAAGTATACAAGAGGACGATGGATTGACGTTATCAGTTCAACGTTAAAACTGGTTTTCATTTATTACGTCAAAATTGAGCTAGATAAAGGTCCGATTTCTCGAACACATATTAAGAACGACGGCACGACATAATTTTAACGAAAAATCATTGACGGTCACTTATTTGCACTTCTAACGACGTTGTATTTGGTTAATACGTAGTCGCAGGGTCATGTATGTGCTACTTGGGTTGACATGCCAATCGATTGCAGCGCCTGTTTCACACAACCGCCGTTGTCAGTAGTTGTTATTATTTGAAGCAAAGTCATAACACGATAAAAAAATCGTAATCTAATTAGAGGGGATAGACCGGAGTTGGATGTTTGCGACACTAAATGTTGTTTACTCTAATGTCTATCTGTGTTAATATGTCATGGGGTTTGGCCAAGATTATTTTCATATAAATAGGATAAAATCTGGTACCTATAGATATCTTGTTCAGATAAACAAGAAACAAGGTAGTGTGAAACTGCTTTTGATTGGAACCACCATAATTGTCCACCTCCGAAATATTTTAAACTATTTCAACAGCATCGCTACGGAGAACTCACCTCAACTAATCTAAGGCCACATTACAAACTAAATTAATTTTAGAATTTTTATAAAAACGCCTGTAGTTCAAGCATTCTACATATTCAAGTGCTTCTACTTTCTACTCTCGACATATCAAATCAAAAATGGATATCCAGCTTTGATTAGCGGTCATTATTTGTGGCATGGTACAGGAACCTTGCGCAGGTAAGTTAAACATTTTAAGCTAATATTTTTCAAACAAATTTTGTCCGTATATATAGATTTAGCTACAAAATATACAATTGCATCCCTTACTTTTTCGTTATGCGAACATTATTAGATTGGATTTGCACTGACAGCTGTTTGGGTGTTGGCGATTGGTTCACAATGGAAGATATTTCACAAAACATTTACGAAAATATGGTACTTTGGACCATCAAACCAGAAAAACCCAACCGATAATATTTCTGTTAATGATTTTTAGTGTTGTACACAAACTTTGGAAGTGCCAGACAGCAAACAGCATACGCGATCCCGAAAATATCTTTTGGGAGGTTTTCTTTATGTTCTACTTGTTTTCACATTGATATTTCCTTTTATGTTATTCTCACTTGGTAGTACTGTGGGCGTGGCCACTCATCCTACCAAATTCAAAATTGAAGTTTATATGGGCAGTGCTGAACCGCTTTTCCAATCGCATACTTCGGAGAAAACAGTTCAAAGGTGATAACATAATTCTAAGCCAAGCAACAATTTGACGATCTGGATATCACCAAACGATATGACAAAAAGTCATAATAAACTTTCCATGTCATTTTTAGAAGTTTTATCGTCTGTTATATAATTTACGGTGTGTTCAATTTTAATGGCATGCAGACGTTTCAATTAAAATTGATAAATAATTTTCTTGCCTCGACTAGGATTTGAACAGGACCCTTGCATATCCAGTGCAACGCTCTACCAACTGAGCTACCGAGACCTGTTTCATTTCTACCTTGTCAATCAAGTCTTTCATCGATTTCAAGTTGTTAGTTGTGAAGACCAACGGCAACCTTCGGTGCTTACCGTTGGTATGGGAGTGAGTTAGAAGATATAAGGGGAACACATTCACAATTAAACATGGTTTTGGTGACGTCTTATACAGACGATCATGCCAGTTCAATGCAAGCACAGATCAGTAAAGTAGTTATTGTTAGAAGCCTCCTATTCGAAAGGAATCAAGAATGAGTTCTAAACAGCTTAGGAGTGATAGTGTCATTAAACCATTTTAGAACCTACCGACAAACTTGGAGAAAGAAACATAAAGAGAAAAAAAATGCCGGTAAGTAAGATTGTTGATCCAGTGGGTCAATATTATATCTAATGATGAGAAATACTGCAAGTACTACGACCGCAGACAAGGCAGATTACAGCATGAAACTCAGGAACAGATTGTCAATATTCTAGTTTCCTTGACGTCGGCCCATGGGAATAACAACCATGCAAGCATAAGAATGAATCTGGATAAACAAGACCAAGAACAAGAAGAGACTGTCTTGAGAGAGTCTTGGTCTTGGCCATGAACGTCAAGTCTTGGTATTGAGAAGATTTTTTAGGTCTTGGACTTTTCACCAAGACCAAGGCCTTTTGGTGTCGCGAAGCCCTAATCGTAAATGGCAATTATTTTACAGGCATAGAGATGAGAAGCATCTGATGAAGACGATTACGAAGTATGACAATAATCTACAGGACATTATTTCCAAAAACATGGTTGAATGATAGATAGAATGATAATAGGTTCAAATTGGAGCATATAGACTTAGAAGAGAACAAGCTTGGAAAAAGAAACATTCATCATTGATGGAAAGTGGCGGGGGCGTTCTTCAGCCCAAATGGCATACGCAGTAATGCATAATGGCCATTTTCCGTATTGAATGCGGTTTTCTCTATGTCGTTCTTATTTATCTGTATCTGGTGAAATCGGCTGGCCAAGTCCAATGTAGTAAAATATTGACATTTTCCTAAATTATCTAATAGGTCGGTTTAGGTAGGCGGTATCTGTCTGTTATGGTTTTTGCATTAACGCCACGAAAATCTACTACTACTCTCCATTTCTGATTTCTTTGGAACCACCCAAATTGGCGATGGACCAGGGAGAGTTGCTTGGGCGAATGATTTTTTGGTCCAACATTTTTTTCATCTGTGATTCGACTTCTTTTTCATGTATAAAAGGGTATCTATAGGTTTTACTATATACAGATTGTTTAACAGTGGTTTTAATTGAATGTCTTATTTCAGTTGCAAATGTCAGTCTTCTTCTTCTTGTTACTTTCTCTCCTTGCTGAATCCAGGGCCCCCGCTACCATAAGCGCAAAGGCGTGCGGCCAGCGTTGTTACAAGAAAAATTTCAATTGTACTTTTTCTAATATCATAATTGTACTATTTTCGACCAAATTGGACATTTTTTAGGTTTCAAATCTTATATACACTTTGTTTCACGAGAGTTTATACTTTTGACATAATTTGCTTTCCTTTTTTAACAAATAGAAATTGACTGAAACAAATTAATGGACGCTGCTCTGACGTCTTCGATGTCAAAAGTGTAAACCTTCGTGAAACGAACTTTACTTTCCTGCTTTTACTTTTATTATTTTAATGTAAGTAAACGGAAATGACCGATGGGCTTGGTTTCTGTACTAAATTAATAATTATAAATTTAGTGGTAATTATCAATTTTTGAAAGTTATCAATTTTCTTCGAGTCTTAAATCAATAAACGGTTCGGGTGCCACCCTCTAAGTGCTCTCGAAATACTCCGGCTACAGTTTGGCTCATTCAGGTGAACAGGAATTGGTGTTCTCGAGCTGCACTCATTTCCTCGCCTTTTACCCCTGAAGAACACTACTACTACAGGATGGCCTATCCTCATAAGGCCTGTGTGGAACAAATTCCCTCTTTCCCCCCACGCCAAAATACCAGTTGTGACGTAGGCAGCATGTTATTTTTCGCCTTGACGTAGGCTGTTTAAACAGCTGACGACTTAGTTATGACGTCTACAATGGTGGCAGACTAATATGACCGCGATTACCAAAAACGAGGTTGATAAGCACTCCTTAAAGTGTGTATTCTCCTTGTGAAGCACCTACCATTTGATGGTCGCGTCACGCTCCGGGCAATACGGTTTCAAAAGTTCACGTGAAAAACGCATAGAGTATAACGGGTGTGAAGTGTTCTAGGACCTTCGAACTCGGCATCCGGAAGCGGTTAAGGTGGGTGTTTCAGGGGACGGGGACGAGGAAAATAAGAGAACCGCTCCGGAGTGCGAAATCTGCACAGACGAATGGGCCAAAGGGTGGACGAACTACTTCGGAGTAACTCTGGAGTGCTCAAAATATGGCACCCGAAAGCGGCTCTATTTACTTTACTATTATGAAGCTGGTACGTCTAAAAATATAAGTTTTATATTTTTTTGAATGAGTTTGTTAATAAAGGAATAGTTAATAATTCCTGAACGAATATAGGATTGTGCATTTTTTCATCTGATTGTACCACTGTACTCTTAAAGTCTTCAATGTACTCCTTTTGGTACAATTGTACCCTCTGTAACATCCCTGCGTGCGGCGCACGCGGGCGGCATAGCTAAGGGGCGGCAAATCGCACGAGGGAAAAATATATACAAAGAAAATTGTAATATAATTTATTAATTAAATTTTTTTCCTAAAGTGTTTCAATTATTTTCCTCTTTATTCAAAGGCCAGGCGCTTATCTAGGAACTGGGAACAAGTGCCGTGTCCTACTCAGTTCCATGTAAAATCTCATGTGAGACAGACAAAGAATGAAAATTGGTAAAACCTTGCCCTGCGCTCTCGTGCGTATCAAGCGAGAATTAGGCTGCAGGGTCCTTATTCTTAAAACAGGGGAGCAAAGTTCCAGGAGAACGAGTGTCCCATCTTTGTTACTTATATTATCATTTGCATATCATTGAGAAAGACGGAACACTCGTTTTATAATAAGGACCCAGGTCGCCTCTTAGCTCCGTACAGCCAATGGGTCAATTTTTCTGTTAAATGTTCCTTTTGGTTCTTGCAAAATTACTCTGGACTATTATCATTTATGTAGTTATTGAAAAACATGACAACCTACGCAATTTACTCAATGCCACTCCAAAAATCTTTGTGCTTTTTTATTCGCCAAGCCTAACTAAGGGGCGCCAAAATATGAAATCGTACGCGGGCGGCTTCAGGTCTGGCGGGGGCCCTGGCTGAATCTTTGCTTGCTGATTCAGTAAGTCAATATTATCCCTAATAATGAGGAACATTACAAGTAGTACGACCTCAGACAAAGCAGATTGGAGCATGATAGTCAGGAACTAATGTCTAATCTTCTAGTTTCCTTGACGTCGGCCTATGGGAACGAGATGTGTATACTTGTTATATTTTTTCTAAGATTCAATATTGATATACATTGGAATGGAAAACCAGAAGAAGATATTTTATTATGAGCTAAGTTTGCTTGAAAACGAACTTCGAAGAACCAAAGACACAATGAAGGAACCTCTGAAAGAAATACAGAGATTGGTACCAGAAGCAACGAGCGAACTTGAGAAGGAGCACCATTGCGGAAAAAGAGGATGGCTGAGGTCTTGTTTTCCTCATGGTAACTCTCAACCTTCAATGAAAAAGTATAATTTCTACATCAAACATGGTTCTGGTGAACTAGATACCAATGCAGACGTCTTATACAAACCATCATGCCAGTTCAATGCAAGCATAGATCAGCAAAGCAGTTATTGTTAAAAGCCTTCTATTCGAAAGGAATCAAGAATCAGTTCTAAACAGCTAAGGAGTGATCAATTAGAAGATAGTGTCATTAAACAATTTTTGAACCTACCGACAAACTTGGAGAAAGAAACATAAAGAGAGAAAGAAAATCCGGTAACAAGAAGATTGCTGATCCAGTTTCCTTGACGTCGGCCCATGGGAATAACAACCATACAAGCGTGAGAATGGATCTGAATAGACAAGACCCATACCAAGAGGAGACTGTCTTGAGAGAGTCTTGGTTTTGGCCATGAACGTCAAGTCTTGGTCTTGAGAAGATTTATCAGGTCAAGGTCTTTTCACCTCGCTTTTCACCAAGACCGATACTAGTCTTTTGGTCTCGCGAAGCCCTAATCCTAAAGGGCATTTATTTTACACGCATAGAGATGTGAAGCATGTGATGAAAATGATAAAAAATCACATAGATCTACAGGACAATATTTCCAAAGAGATGGTTGAATGATAGATGGAATGAGTATAAGTTCAAATTCGGGCATAAAGACCTAGAAGAGAAGGTCGATAGTGTCATCAAACCATTTTTTGAACCTACCAACAAACTTGGAAAAAGAATCATTCATCATTGATGGAAAGTGGCGGGGGCGTTCTTCAGCCCAAATGGCATTCGGAGCAATTCGTAATTAATGATTTTTTGGAATCCATTATCCCTTCAACCACTGATGCGTCGTCGACATATAGCGACATCAAGAGGCATCGGGATGGGACGCCCAACCATCAATATCAAGATAATAATTTTACAATTTTTAGAAGTTTTATCGTCTGTTACATAATTCACAGTGTGTTCAATTTTAATGGCATGCAAACGTTTCAATTAAAATTGATGAAAAATTTTCTTGCCTGGACTAGGATTTGAACCCAGGACTCTCGCATATCCAGTGCAGTGCTCTACCAACTGAGCTACCGAGACCTGTTTCATTTCTACCTTGTCGATCAAGTCTTTCAGTCTTTTAGCTCACTCCTATACCAACGGTAATCGCCGAAGGTTGCCGTTGGTCGTCACACCTGACAACTTAAAATTGATGAAACACTTGGTCGACAAGGTAGAAATGAAACAGGTCTCGGTAGCTCAGTTGGTAGAGCGTTGCGCACTGGATACGCGAGAGTCCTGGGGTTCAAATCCTAGTCGAGGCAAGAAAATTTTTCATCAATTTCAATTGAAACGTCTGCATGCCACTGTCTATGTGAAAGTAGATACAAATTTGAAGATGTTCCAGATTCGATACAGACAGTGATCATAGTGCCAAAATCAAACTCGGTATCAGATTTGAACGAAGAAAGTCGCTCGACAAAAGGGTGAATCTTTATTCCCATCAATAATTGGAAATGCGTGGAGAATAATTTTATTTCGAAGCTGGTAAAAGGCTGAAAGGAAGATTCAGAATTAAATGAGATAAACAACATCAATGTTAGATTGAAGGAATATATTTTTGGAAGCAGGAATAAAGAGAGGAGCAAAACATACAGCGATGATAAATGAAATACAAATGAATATAGAGAACTCAAAGAAGTGATACGAACATCTTTCAAAGAAGACACGAAGGAAAACAACAAATCAGTCATAGATAGAGTCATAGAAGACAATGAAGAACTAATATGAAAAATGATGATTGGACAAAATAAATATTGGACTCATCGTGACTTGACAAGATTCCGACGTGGAGACACAAATCGATACTCAGCGAAAAATAGAAAATATCGGGCCTGAAGGTATACGAGATATCGAAAAGTTCGAGATCCAAAAAGCAATTACCGAACTCAAATACAGAACAAATCACCATGCCATGAGGAGTAAATTGTCAGCTGAAATGCTGAGAAAAGAAAAAGCCGCCATCCCATCACTGAAGAGACTATTTTCATTCTATGTTTAAATGTCAGCAAAGTGGAATGGAAAAAAGGTGATAGGACTGACATCAGAAACTATCCTGTTATGTCGTCATTATCCTAAGTATTTAAGCTGATCATGAAAATCAAACACGTTAGTTGTCGTCACTTACTTCCGATCATCTCCTTACCATAAAAATTCTCGTGGAAAAAGCCACTGACTAAATGTGCAAAATGTTTGCCTACTACAAGGTCAATCAATCATGGTGCCTTTATCGTCAAATTATTGCTTGGGAATCCAAATAAAATTGACTTCGAACCATATCTATATTTTTCAGGCTCTCTCAAAACAACTACATAAATCTAACAACAACATTCAATAATATCAAAGAATCAGAAGCGATTTTTGGTAACTTCATGGCAGAAGATGTTGTGGTGGTTAAATGGTCGCCACACAGTTTGACTCAATGGAAAGTGTCGCCTGGTACTCACGACGAGCTAATGAAGGATCTTAAATCAAGTATTTTAATTAAACCAGTAGAAATAAGATTTAAAATATGTTTACTATTAGAAAATTCCATTACGATTCGCGTGGAAATTCAGTACACTCATGTCGGACATGGAGGTGAAAAAACTCAAAGCTCATTTGTACAAAATACCGAAATTCCTCGTCTACCCAACAAGCAAAGGCAAAGTCTCATTGATATTTTGAACTTTGAGAATAAAACGACATTTTTACGGTTGCCAATGGTTTTCCCAAAATTCATGCTGATTACAAAAGATGCAAAATCCAAAGTTTTGGGCATTATCAAGGAACCAACTAGTAAGTTTTTGATAGGGTTAATTGAAAATTTAGTTTTTTATTTGAAGCTATCGATACCACCTCAACAAGTGAACGTTCTGATGATTATATCTCAGCAAGATCTTCACAGGAGGAGTATTTTGTTGCGAAATCGTTTGAACATGACGAAGACGAAGAGATATTACCCAATCCTTCCCTATTCAGGAACCTTTTAATTTCGTTGAAGACTGGTAAAAATAGAGAAGTGTGGTTTGTGTTTTCAAATTTTGTGATATATATATATTTTTTTTAAAATCAAATGTTATATTTAGGTGGCACATGCAGGAGGAATGCGATATAACTGACGATGATTATTTTTATTATCTTAAAAATATACAGCACAATTCATGTGATCAGCTGGTGATGTATACTTTTAATGAAAAAGTATTCTCGAAAACCATAAGCTATATAACTCAGAGTGGGTAAGAATGAGAGAATATGTATAGCTCTACAAAAGAGATATAAGAACCGCGTTGTATCTACGTCGAATCCATTTTTGAAAAAAGTTCAAGCTCAAACCATGGTGGACATCTATGTATCTGTAAGTTTGGGAGGATGGTATGTTACAGTACTTAGGCCACAGTAGGCTTATTGTGCTCTTCCACAAGAGGAGAGGTCATCCTTAACCTAATATTTCCTCTTGTGGCCAAAAACTGGATAAAGTTATAAAACATTTTCCGGGGTATTTGATTCCAGCTACCTTTTAAAGCGAAATCTAAGTCTGGAGACCGCACCGTAGATATAGCGCTGGTTAATATTAATACTTAGGGGAAAATATTCAAAAAAAAAATATTATTTTATAGTATTATTGGGCTGTACCTTTTGTACTTTATGATAATGGTTGATTTCATGCGTGGCTGCCGAGTGACTGTTGATGCAATTTGGATTAATGATTGGCCAGATCCAGAAGGCTTATGGAGGGTAACTTGTATCAACAAATTTATGTGAAAAAATACTTCTTATATATTTTTTTGTGTAGAAATGCAGAGAAGTTTATATTGCCAGAGACATGCGTAACTATGAACTGGAAGAGGAACTATTTGCCGAGTTGATATTTATAATGAGATCCAGGGAAGTGTTAATTAAATTGACTAGGGAAACGACTAGTGCATATAATCCACCCGTTTTAACAGGCGAAAGCAAGAAGACAAAATAATTATCTACCTACTTGTGAATTTAATATTTGTTTTGTTGAATTAGTATAATAATAATTATTTGCAACTAAATTATTGTCATTGGATTCGATCTTCCCACATGCAAAGTTAAAACATAATTGAATACTATTTTTATTTATTCGCATTAGCATAAACCATAAACCAAAAACCGCAAACAACGTGTAATTATTGTTAAATGTGTTAATAAATAATTTGCGCCATTGTTTTCCTGTTTGTTTAATGATTCCCCATTCAAATATATTTTTGTATGCAGGGTCGGTTTTTGTCCGAAAAATGATAGGCAGATCTTATCGTTGAGGTTTGGAGGGAACCAATTAAGGTGTGGATTTAATTAATAACCCATTATTATTTTAGTTTACTTTAATAATTAATTTTGGGTTTTTTTTTTATTTTACTTACGATTCCTGATTCACTAATTTTGGGTTTTTTTTGATAGCACTTATTACTGTTTCAGTTTTAGAGACCTACTGAATAAAACATTTGAATAAACAGTATTGCCTTTTTGTCTAGCAATTTTATTTAGTTCAACGAACCGTGGTAAAGGAACAGTAGAGAAATAACATACCTTCCAGAAAAGCTTCTTTTTAGTCTTTTATGAGAATTTTAATTCTACATTCAGAGCATTTTAAAGTTCACTTTTCGACATTTCTCGGCATAATCAAAATTTGAATTTTGATTTACCAATAAGATTCAGATTTTGATTATTCCTGGCTTTTGATTGGATAAATTTTATTTCCCCGAAACAACTCAATCAAAACAACAATCAAAAACACAGTGGAGAAGGTTCAGCATAGGTTGTGAGATAATTAAAGTCTGTTTTTTTCAGATAAGATAAGATAATTCCCCAAGTCAAAAATTTAGTAAAATCTGTTTTTTTTTTAAAGATAAAAGTCAAAATGACATTCTGTTGGCAATAGGCAATACAATGTAAAATTGTCAATGCTTTCAAATTTTTTATGTAGAAAAGGCTTGTGTTGCCAACATAGTTACTAAATATTTGACTTGGGGAATTATCTTTAAAAAAAAAACACACTTTAACTAAAATCTGTTTTTTTTTTTAAAGATAAAAGTCAAAATGACATTATGTTGGCAATACGATGTAAAATTGTCAATTTTTCAAATTTTTTATGTAGAAAAGGCTTGTGTTGCCAACATAGTTACTAAATTTTTGACTTGGGGAATTATCTTTAAAAAAAAAACATACTTTATGTTGGCAACACAAGCCTTTTCTACATAAAAAATTTGAAAGCATTGACAATTTTACATTGCATTGCCAACATAATGTAATATTGACTTTTATCTTTAAAAAAAAAATTAGTCTTTAGTATTATTGCTTTCTTCTCCAAACGTCAGAAAAACGTCACTTTGTTAACCCCTGTCAAGATGTCAGAAATTTGATTTCTATGCTGCTAGACAAATCCAGCGGGTTAACACCTGTCGAGGTGGTAGAAATTTAATTTCTATGCTGCTTGGCAACCCCAGCGGCAGCAAAAGTACTTATAGTGCCGCTGAGCGGCAGTAGAAGTACTTTTAGTGCCGCTCGTACTTCTACTGCCGCTCAACCATCCACTTGCCCCCAAGCTTATCCCATTCGTTCGGAGAAAAATAGCGTGTTACATACGGAGTAGAAGCACTTTTTTGTGCTTCAGCAGTATTGTAAGCCTCACTACGTTCGGCTCGCAAACCTACTGCTTCAGCACAAAAAAGTAAAGCTTCTACTCCTAATACAACAATATACTATAGTTCTACACTTTATTTTTTTCCAAGATAAATTTTGACATTGAAAACTTTGAAGCATAAACAATAGCGCTTGACCCTGATTGGTCGCAAAATGAGGTGTTTCTGCAGGTTGACATTAGTTTTACAATAGCGACCAATAAGCGGCATTAGCGGCATTGTTTATGTTTCAAAGTTGACAATGTCAAAATCTATCTTGGAAAAAAATAAACCATAGTCTATATGGTTAGTTATTGATGGCTATTTGCACGACTATCACTTAAGAGATATTTAATCTAAGTGGAGCTTTGAATGTGACTTTTTTTTCTACAAGAGCCACATTCAGAGCTCCACTAGGATTAAATATCCCTTAAGTTGTAGTTGTGCAAATAGCCGTGAATGTGTTATGTAGTACATGGTGGCAACATCAGGATACAGCACCGGGATCACGAAGTTCGATTCGATTATATCGTGTCAAACGATGAGCGACTCGAGTGGATTGTTCACGAAACTCGATCCAGTTGAAAATCAAGTTTATTCGATCGTTACTAACGCTACACACTTCGAAAATTGAAAGCGATGTCGCATTTTAGTTTTTTGGTTATATAAATATATGTTTTGTGTTTTGTTATTCAAATTTCAATTTTAATTGTTTAAAATTTCCACAATAAACTTGGACTACACCAGAATTATACTCTCCACCAATGCATCTCTGATAAGAGCCAGTGATCTCTGAGCCAGTCGCATAAAATCTTAAAGTACATAATAGCACCATGTTTTCTAGAGTAACTGTCCTGGCAAGTATTCTCTCTGTACATGTGGTCGTATTAACTGTATTTCTGTAGTTGTCGTTTATTTAGACAAAATAACTCTACAAAACTTGCCTCTGGAAGAGAAAAGGGTTCCTACTGTTTGTACCTACAAATTTGTCATCGTCGAAGAAGCTCAAGATTCTGGCGACGTCTATTTCTTTGTATTTGCAAAATAGCGTGGATAACGTAACATTTTTATTTTTATGGGAATTTCAAGATATATTGAAAAAACAGATGGAATTTAACCTAATTCGAGACCTCCGAACCTGTCGAGGCATTTCGATCGAAATATATCGATCAGTCGAAAGTCATGAACAAGTCCTTTCGATTTTCGATCAAAGATGACAAACTTTAAACGAATATCGAGTTTCGTGATCCCGCAGCTGGTCTGCTATGGGATCACGAAACTCGATCCCGTTCAATCGAGCAATCGTCTATCGAGTCGACAAACTCATTCATGGTGTTCGATCGAGAGGAGAATCGAGAAACTCGATTCGATTTTTTTTTTTGGACACGCTCTGAAACTTAGTGAGCAAGTGCCAAGGACAAAAAGACCAAAAACAGAAGAAAATATAAACATGCATTTTCTTGGGTACGTTAGGATGTATTATAAGGTCTGTTCCCACCAATGAACTATAACCAAAAACTGGAATGCTAACACATAAGGACGAACGTGAAGCCTAGTGCGGCTGCTGCGGAGGGGATACCTGTTTTTGTCGCACTCATTATGTTAAATGGCGAAAATTGCTTCCAACACGTATTCCAATTGATGAAACCTGTGAAGGGAAATATGACAAAACTTTCGAAAACGTCATATGACAGCGAGCAACAGAAAAAAACAACATTCCCCTTTGTGGCATCTGTCTTTCATGGCTACATTTTTTTGGCAGATATGGCAATGTGTGCGCATTCCAGTTTTTAGCTATAGTTCATTGGTTCCCACAGAACTCATAAACCAGTCAGAGCGAATTTCATTGATTGAAAATAGTCAGGAAACTGGTTTTTTGCAATTTGGACAAATCAAAAACGCTCTGACTGGTTTGTGATTTCTGTGGAAACAGACTCTATATTATCGGTCTATAATGTTGTACGTCTTCCGATTCGATCTCCAACCGTTTCTGTGAATCCAGGCATCTTCCTCCAAGCCCCTATCTCTCATTTCCTCGTCTACTCCACTTTTCAGCTTCTTCTTGGGCCGCTGCGTCTTCTTCTTCCCCCTGGCTTCCACTCAATGATTTGCTTGTATAATCTCGTATCTGCCATTCTTTGTACGTACATGTCAGAACCAAACTACCAAATCAGTTGTTTGTCTTCAACTTATCTACCTACTATTGTGTAGCTTTCGCTTACGTTCATAATTTCTCTAATTCCCTGGTTTGTTGTCCTTTCCATTTTGGCCTTGCCTGTCGCACTTCCCAGTCCATTTCAGCTGGTTCCAGCATTTTTGCGGTTCTGTCCTTTCTATTCTATCTATTCAGCCTTCTTCAGTCCATCTTTGGACGTAGGCCTCCCCCAGTCTTCTCCATTCCTCTCTGTCTGTTGCCATGTTCATCCACCTAGTTGTCTGTCCTTTATGATGGTGTATATTCTAGTTTTATTTCTTTTGTTATTTTGGTCCCAAAGTATTCTATTTAGTAGGGATATTGCCTTGGGTTTTTGGCCTTGTATACTCCGATCTATAATTGCTTCGTCTAGATTAAATTTACCTCCATTTTTCGTATTTCTCTATCAAGTTACGTGTCATGTACTCTAGGTCGTCAATCCTGTGCAATTGATACTTGATTGATTCATTGAGCGATATGCCCATTATATCTGCATTATTTTTCCAATTCCTTAAGCGCTTGTTCCAAGTATATTTTCAAAAGTGTTGATATTCAGCATCCCTGTTTGTTACGAATGTGAAAGGTTCATTTCAACACGTCTAAAAACCGTACATCGTAGATTCCGGTTCATGGGCACAACAAGAAACGCGCAATTTTAGATTGGCTGGAAAGAAATTCAGAGATTGTTTCTGACTGGCAGAGGTATGATACAGGACTTGCAGTCAAAGCCAATTTAAGAGAAAAATTGGAAAACCTAATGACAATGTTAAGCAGCTATGTTACCAAATAAGCTAAAAAAAGGATGCGATTTTCACCTAGACGAGATATTTCTTTAAATCTCTCAACCTCTGTATTCTCCGAAGCAAATAGACATTTTCAGGCCTGCTTTTCATCAAAATCTTTCTCTCACGCACAATCGGCAGCATATTTCTTTATTAATAAACAATTAACCAATCACCTCAAACAGACAAACTGTGAAAAATTGCAATAGTATAACGGAAAAAAATGATTACTCGATAGCTTGGAACTAGTCGAGAAAATTCAATAGAATCGAGTCGATAATTCGAGTGACGTGATGCATTTTAAGTCGACTATCGAGTTTTTCGATCCATTTCAATTGAGATCGAGTCTCGTGATCCGGGCCATGTCAACCAGTTTGTAGGTTTGTGAAACGTCACAGATTAGATCCACGT